ATATTTAGTTGGATACAATTTTGGAAGATAGTTTCCACCTTTTTGAAAGTATGGTTAGGTTAAATTAAGGTCGATTGTTAAGGGACTCACTTAGACCGCGATCGTTTTCCGTTGTGATGCGAATGGTAACCACTAAGTTGTGGCAAGAAACGCAGCGTGCCACGAATCAAGTTTCATAGCTGGCAGGTGCTAATCCCGGACAGCTCCTCCGGACTAGTCAGAAAGTACGAACCCAAGTACCTTAGCCGGAATCTGGCAAAAGCTAGGCAGTCTAAAAGGCAGTGTTGTGATGATTCCACCTCTTTGTTCTCCAAGCAGCTGTGCCAAAAGTGATACGGTAAGATATTTAATATTAGCTCATGAATCCCGATAGGACAGTGGCCACACGGTACACCTACAAGAATCAAGAGATCCGGCTTCGCAAGCCTCTCCGGTCCACTATCGGCCATAACAACCTTCCCCAAGCGTTGACTCTATCCAAGAGAAGTCTTCAAGTAGTCAAGGGAGCACCCACTCTCTATTTTCTTAAGGATAATGTCTCCAGGTTGCCGCCTCTGCCCAGCTCACGGTTTCCCGCGATGTCGCTATGACCAGGCACCCGTGCAAGTCTAACACGGTAATAATACGACGCGGTTGAAAGTGAGTTAAGGCATGCTTCGAGCGTACCGTCAGTGCGTCCAAAGCTCTTACTGCTACCTGGCTATCTGAGTAGATGCTAATCCTCCTTACGGCCAAATCTTCCAGTAGCAACCATTCGACTGCTTCCTTAATAGCAGCAACCTCTACCTGAAGAACACTACAGTGGTGCAAAAGCTCAAATTTGAGGTTGATGGGGAGCTCCATCGTAAGGACCCCTCCACCGATCATTCCATCAAGTTTTGGCCCTTCCATGCTGCACGTATATTCATGTCACCTAGACCTTCAATCTCTTCGACTTTTATCCAAATCCTTAGAGGTCGCGCACAGAGGTGGCCGCGGTGACATGAAATGCCTCAATTCAAAAAAAACAAACTCCCAAAATGTATACTGGAAATATATTTGGTGCATCTAAATTAGTGATATAAATTTACAACAAAATATAAACGAAATTCTTCACCAAAAAAAAAAACAACACGAATAACACAAATCTAATAAAGAAATAGCTGGATAGCAGATCAGCAGCAGAGAGATCGCATAACATCATCGATACCAACAAGCAGAGGGAGCACCAAACAACAATACGATAAGTACCCACACCCTTTTTCATATACATAAGCTTATCAAATATATGCATGTAGTACATACGTACATATCTATAGCAAAACAAATCCCATTACACTCATTAGATGTCCGAGCTAACATTCCAAGCCGATCATTAACCCCAAAAATATAACTTTGACCTGCCCCAGTATATAAGCTTTGAGACAGCATTCCCGCTCACTTTTGTTTATATTAATCTCATATTCTTCCTCTATCCCAGCATAATCCAGTTCAATAACTATCAACTGCACTCTCTAAGCATTGCTAATGTCAACACCACACTCATACATATTTATACATGCGTAAACATATGTAGAATATTTCTCTAGCGCTCAATTGCAGTCAGTCTTTTTAACCGACTTCCAAAAAAGGAGGAGGTTATCAGTTCGTCGGAATATTTTTTTTTTTTTTTTTTTTTGTATGTTACCGCATAACTTTGGACCACGTCAACCGATTTCGATAATTCGCAAATTGAAAAATATTGACTTTTAAGGATTTTATCTCTATTTCTACGAAGTGTTTTTTCTCATATAAAATACGTGGAAAACTTCATGGTGTGGTAGAGCCCTCAAAATGACGCACAATTCTGACTTTTTTACCTGTGTAAAATTACGCAAATTTCGATACCTCTTGCGATAGTGTAGCTCAAATAAATTTTTTGACGGGACACCCTAATGTACATACATATGGGTATATATATACATATATACATACTATCTCCACAGTGTGACCAAAAAAAAAATTTACATATATATAGATACTAAATAAATATTTATTAAATTCAAGAGTTGTAACATTCCATTAAGATATTTCGAACAGAAAATATTTAGTAACCCCCATTGGAAGGTATTTCTCTCTCTTTCTCTCTCTCTAACCCGAGAATAAGAGTTAATATAATACGGTTCGTTATATTTGACTCCATAAAATGGATAAAAAATTACAAGATACCCCCACTCCACAGATTATTGTTATTGTTGTTAAATCGCTCTCTTCATGTTCTACTCCGCAGAACACTCTTAACGGAGAGGCGGCCCGGCAGGGTGGCTACCGCCAATGGATAAACACTCCAATCCCAGCTCCTCTCAGAAACCCTATCACCCAACATCGACAGCAAAGGACAAACAAATTTCGCACTCACCTCTAGGAAAAGCAGGCTCAAACTAATTTCGCTATAAAGAAACAGCGCAAAATAAAGACCATTCCATACATCCGTCGTAGATTTCAGCGAGAGAAATTCTAAAAGCAACCCCACTATTATGAGCAGAACACATCAGCCGTTGAAATAAGTACAGCTTACTTACGGTATGTCTATTACAGCACAAGAGCTGCTAAGCGCTTCATAAGGCATTCTGCCTCCATTCGGTTAACAAAAATCATACCTCGTCAACGGAAACTTCATGCCACTCTACAAGAAGTATTCGAGCTTGTTGCGATCGCGGACCCTACCAGCAACACTCAGAAGACATTCTCATTGATATCACCTCTTCAAAAATCTAAAATATCTTTTGCAAGTTTCTCTGTGTATGATCAATGTAAATTAAATAACCAACAGCTGCCGTAAAATAAAATTACGTGACATCACCAACGTCATCACTATTTCGCACCTCGCCGAAGAGGGCGCATACACACAGAGAAAAAACATAAGTAATTTGAACAAAGTTGACTTAGTTGAACAATTTTGTATGGGGCCCAAGAAACTTGTGCGATCCATCAAAGTTCTTATGCAATTTATACTCGACCGTGCAAAACAAAATTTAGTTAATTTATTACCTAAGCACTTTGGCTGCCAAAAAACGAGCTTGTTTTAACTAAGTTATCTTAGGTATTTTTTTTTTATATGGACTTCGAAAACTATGTGTAAATCCACAAGGCTTTTATACAGTTTACACTCGATCAGCAGAAACAAAGATTAGTTAATTTATCAAAGTTATCTTATGTACTATGTGTGAGCACCTAAGATAGTGTAATTCAACGAAGTGTTTACAAAACTTAACAAGGGTAACTTGGGTACCTTGTTAATTTAAGAAAATATTCGATGCTAGCTTAGGTAACGTGTAAACGTCCTAAGAAACTTGTTTAATTTAACAAAGTTCATGTAAAATTTAAAAAAGTTATCTTAGGTAACTTGCAATAGCACCCAAGAAACTTGTTTAATTTAACAAAGTTCTTGTAAAATTTAAAAAAGTTATCTTAGGTAACTTGCAATAACACCCAAGAAACTTGTTTAATTTAACAAAGTTCTTGTAAAATTTCAAATCAAGTCAGCTTCGCGAAGACGGCTTTCGTTACCCTTCGTCATTGATTGTTTTGAGCTCAAACTGAAGAGTCGGCAGTGCTTTATTGTGATTTTTTATTTCTTTGGTGATTTTTTAATTAAAATAGGAGTTAAAGCGGGTAAGTTAACACATACGGATATTTTAAATCAGACGATTGTCATGATACATTTGCCATCTCATCACTTTTTAAGGCGAAAACGATATTCTGCAGAAGTGCGAATATTATAAATCAAAATCATAATAATATTATTAATATTACAATTTTATTATAATTTATTAGGAATATATTTAAATATTTAAAGAAACAGAAAACAGATTTGTAATCAAAATGTTTTGCTTTATTTGTAAAAATAATTTTTCAACCGTTAACGTTTTGATAAGTCATCTTAAAATAATTCACTGTATTAATAAAAGTCAATACATCTGCCCCTATAGCTTTTGTAAACAATCATTCGTAAATATATATCGTTATAAAAGGCATTTAAATAATCATTTGTTAAGAAATAACTTAAATTGTTCCCCAGTAAATGAAGAGATTGCCAATATGGAAATAGAAACCACTCCAGTAATCGAAAATAATTCTTCTAAGCAGGTATGAAAATTTCTGTAATATATACGTACACATGATACAAAAACTACAAGGTAAAATCATTTTCTCAATTCGTCGGCCATGATTTTTTTCTGGCGTTTTCAAGCATTTACAATTGAAAACAGAAAAATGAAATTCTTCACAATTGTTGTTGTTTGAGGTTAAAAATATGAACGAGTGTGTGAGTTTGAGTTTTGAATTTTAAAATTATATTGCTTAAAAACGTCAAACTGTCTCTCAATGGTTTAACCTTGTAATATTTTAATCATATACGTACATAACATAAATGTCACCCAGTATCCATCCAAAAACCATGAGGTGCATTAAACAAATTTATTTTCAGTCTCACAGTGTTCACAACATTTTATTAAATTCAGAACAAGGAAAAGCAATTTTAAAACTATGGCGAAACTAAAATGCTGTTGCCGCAAGCTAGAACATATATTGTTCATTATGTTATTGAATCAATTATAGAGCATGGCGATAAACTCACGGTAAAAAAATGCGAAGATCTAGCGGTACAAATAACATCTTTATTTCCTACAGAATGCCGCGTAAGTTTACATGTTGCTCTAACGCCGAATCCTGAATAAGTACTTTTTTAATAATTTTAATTTTTGAATTAAAGGATACATATTTCTCACAAACTAACAAAAAATTGGCACCAAAAGGCAAACTTTGGGACAGGTAGCAAGGACGAAAACGGTACGTGGCAAAACTTAATCAGAATTCGAAGCGCCTGAAACTGCATAATCGCAACCCTGATCACACGAGCAATATGATGACAACTTCTGGCAATGAAGAATATGATCAAATATGTGCTGATCTCAAACATATCAGGGATTGGGATACTGTACTAACGAAATGGAAGCAAACAATTTCGTATAGAAAAAATCGTTTGTTCAACTTAGATTTGACGTTGCATCAAATTTTAGATGAGTGGCCGCTGTACAAATACTCCAAGGCTCCTGAATTGGTATGTTTATATGTGAGATATACGGATGGGTAGATTCGATATTCGAAGCTTCGAGATTCGAATTTTAATCGAATTTTAGCTCCAAAATGGCGAATTTTTGAAATTCGGATAAAATTGAATTTAAAAAAGAATATCGAATTTCAACCTCCCACCACCTATCCCCAGTCAGATAAGTAAATTTAAAATATGTTATAATAATATTCTACAAACATTTATTTGAAGGTTGACATTGACTATAATGACAGTTTCCCGGGAAATGGGCTAAATTTTTCAAATTGGAATCATTTGTGTACAATCGCTTCGGACCTGTTTGAGCAAAGGATAAAAGATCCACAAACCAAGCAGCTTAAAAGCCGGGTATTCGGAAAGAAAGACGCATTAAATATAGGTAAATAAAAGTTTAAAATTTTCTCTAAAATCAATGAAATAATTAAATATTTATATTTGTTAGACAATTTCAACATATATACTATGATGTTGTTGCATGCGGTTTCATTGCCTACTCACAAAAAATATACAATATCGGATTCACAAAATGCCTTCACAGTCTCAGTAAACCAATCTAGTGAAGTGGATCAAGCGATTGCAGAAAAGAGGAAACAGTGCCTAGAAGATAATTCAACCCTGCAACCGTTCGTCATTGTTGTGGGTGACGAATTTAATTTTAAGAATTTTTATGTCACATTAGACGGAATTAAATATTCATTTCATTCTTATATGGAGGCTATACAATATTGTTATAAATTAATGTTTGTGCTAAATTTAAAATATCCAGACGAATGTACGAATGTATGGATATTCGTGCAAAAATATTTGTTCAACACTGTCCCAGTAATTAATACATTGATAAACGACATTAATAACTGGACAAGCTCAAAATAGGTTAAGTGCTAAGACATACACTTTTGATCAGTTGATTAAGTCATCAACATTTTGATCAATTTTGGCTATTTTTCTTTTGTTTATTTAATGTATATTATTTTTCCATAAAAGTTGAAAATCCAGCTGAAATTTTGCAGATTTCTTATAATTTTTGCACAAAGTTCGAATTGTGGATTTATATGGTGTTTGTTATATATATGAGCTCAACTTTTATTAAAAAATAATAAACAAAAGAAAAATAGATAAAATGGATCAAAATGTTGTTGATTTAATCAGCTGATCACAAGTGTATGTAAATATGTACATATACTTTAAATGTATTACAAATGAAACAGAAGTAATTAATTTAATAAATTGTTTCTATAAAAGGCTAAAATAATTTCATTACTAAGGCTGTGAGTGGGGAGTCGTAAGTTGTTACTAAATATCAAAATAGTAAAAAATGACCGAGAATTCAGTTAATAGGAACAATTTAGAGCTTTGTTAACCATACTTTTTATATCTCAATTTAAATAACAAAAATAATAAAGGGACCGCTCCCTTTTATGTATTATTTTTGTTGCTTAAATTGTGGTAAAAAAAGTGTTGTTGACAAAAATCTAAATTGTTCCTATTCACTGCATTATCGACATTTTTCAGGGAAAACTTTTGCAAATCACCAAAGAAAT